CATTTCTACTCTCAACAGCCTTTAAAAAACAAACATCACAGGCCAGATGTGGCAGCACACACCATTCTTTCATTGATTTTCTTCTTCTCTTTTCTAACAGTATGATATAACAAACTGTTAGACATCACATACTTTGAAGGACACTTCGTATTGCTGTTTAGTTTTTTTGTCATGTTGACACAAGGTAGACACATCTGGGAATAAAAAAAAAAATGTGTTCATCAGACTGGCTTGTAGAGTGTGGAGGGCATTTTCTTATTTTCATCTTTTTCCCTTCATTTCTTTTTTGGATTTTCCAGACAGGCTTTCTCTGTATAGCCCTGGCTGTCCTGAAACTTGATCTGTAGACCAGGTTGGCCTTGAATTCAGAGATCTGCTTGCCTCTGTCTTCCAAGTGCTGGGATTAAAGTGGGATAACCACTGCCCAGCTGGTAGGGTATTTTCTTGATTGATGACGGAGGGCCCAGCCATTGGGGTAGGTGGTTCTGGGTGATTTAAGAAAGCTGGCTGAAGGAGCCACACAGAGCAAGCTTGTAAGCAGCACACCCTATAGCTTCTGCTTTAGTCCTCGCCCTCAGCTCCCTTCCGGATTGACTGTGATACAGAAGTCGAAGTCAAATCAATCCTTTTCTCCCCAAGTTGCTTTTGGTCACCATATTTTATCACAGCAACAGAAAGCAAACTAGAATACTGGAGAAACAGTGATGAACAAAGAACAAAGATATTTATTCAAGATTCTTTCACTTCACAGAATTAAGAGTCCTGGATCTCAGTGCTGTGTTACATGCAATCTGTCCTTCGGAAGTTTGAGGTAGGAGGATTACAAATATAAAGGTAGCCTGTTCTTAGTGAGACTACACAAATAACAGCAGCAACAACAAAATTTCCACCACAAATACCACCATCCACAAAGCCAAAACAAACCAACAAACCAAACAATAACCCCATCATATTATGTCACAGTTTTACTTACTCCCCATGGACACTGAGGCTAAAACTTAAATACTTCACAGTGAATTATACAAAATGCTGGATGAACTGGCCTTTGGCATTGTTTCATGCCCTCTTCCCTGTTCTAATTGTGATCCAGTTTCCTTTGAGTTTGTCAAGTACGTACAGGACTTTGATCAGCGCTGTCCTATTCAGAATGCTCTTCAAATGTACATTCTTCATTTATTGTTGTCTATTTAAAAGTCACCAAGCAGGTCCACCTCTAACCAGCCTCCATTTCGCCCATCTGTTACCACCTAGCACTGGCTGGCTGTCTCTCTTTGTTAAGACGAAATCGCCAAAAGAGTAAGGGCTGTGCTGTGTCTTTGCTGTTCATAGCAGTGTTTTGGCGTTTACTAAAATCTGTAAACTAATACATAATTACTCATCTCCTAGTCTGTATCATTCGTCTTTCTTTCTGTACAGTGTCTCAGTGTCTGGCTAGCTTTAAATTCAATCTCTTCCTACCTAGCCTCCTAGGACTGATTACCAACATGAACTACCAAACCCAGATTCTGGACACTAATTCTGTAAGGCAGGAGGAGTGTGAATGTCTTAATTTATCATCTGTTTCCTGGAGTCCTTCAGAGGATGAGATGTTTAACAGTTTGTTGATGTTTGCTTAATATACCACCATACGAGAAAGAAAGCTAAGAATGAAAACTAAGAATGGTACTAAGGAAAATTTCAAGGAGACAGTAAATTTACTGCTGTGAGGTCCAGCCTTCTCTTACTATCACCTCTTGGCATTATGGGTACTTTGTTCTACTACTGCTCACCTGATATCTTTTAGTACCCACCTGGAGGAAATGCTTTTAGAAAAGGCTTTCTAGCCGGGCGGTGGTGGCGCACGCCTTTAATCCCAGCACTTGGGAGGTAGAGGCAGGTGGATTTCTGAGTTCGAGTCCAGCCTGGTCTACAGAGTGAGTTCCAGAACAGCCAGGACTACACAGAGAAACCCTGTCTCAAAAAAACAAAAAGAAAAAAAAAAAGGCTTTCTAAATTGGAGAGTAAAAGAAAGAGTCAGAATAAGGAAAAATTAGTTTAGTATCCTTCTCCATTGTAAAGTCATTTAAAATATGCACTTTTAGAAGAATGATTTCTATTTCTTCACTGGTAACAGGCATTTGTAAATATGGTTACATAAAAGCCAATTCTCACCAAAAGAACAACTTGGTGAAAAAGAAAAGAATCAATTCATATCCTGTATCTGTGTAGATGGAGGCAGGGAAAAGAAGAGATGGAAAAGGAAGTCTTTTCTGTGTAATTGTTTCCTTAGAAAGATTTCTTAAAGATCTATCAGAAGTATATAACCTAGTTCAATAATAAAAGGCAGCTAACAGAAAAAAATACCTGTTTGTGTAATTATCTTTATCACTAATGGAACTTAATTCCCTAATTCCCATAAGGACTGACAACTGGTTGACTAAATTAAGGTTGTTGTTTTTTTTATTTTTTGTCAGGGGTGGAAATACAAAATCCTTTTTCATTTTCTGTAGCATGAACACATCTTATTCCTACTGACAAACCTCTAAACTTCTTAATTAAACCTCTAAATTTAACTGGCTATTTTAATAATTTTTTTCTCTGAAAGAATGAATTTGCTTCTCTAACCCTATAAAATACAAACACAGGTAACTGCTTGGTCAGGCAATTATCAAGAACTACCACTTACAGATGAAGATCCAAATGTATGCTTACATAAACATAAACGGTAACTCACAGAGAAAATGCTGGTGGGCATATTTACTTAAAAATAAACATGGCTGACTGAGAACATAGCTCAGCAAGTGCACATGTGTCTAGTAGAGCCAAGGTTCTGGGTTCCAGGCCCAAGAAAGAATTCTTTAGTGCTTCATTAATCTAATAATTTGTATTTTAAAATTTAAAAAGCCATTGTTTTAAAAGCTCCTTATTTTTGTATGCAGGGTTTAAATGTAGGACTTTTAACACTGTGACTTAATATCAATTCTTCAGTGATTATCTTATTATTCTGTGTGTATGGTAGGTTAGGTGTATCTGTGTGTGTGGCTCTCCTCCATCTTATTTTTGAGACAGGATCATTGCACTGACCATGGGACTCATGGCTTTAGCAAGTAAGCCCCAAGGATCCTTCTGGTTCCACCTCCTAGTGCTGAGATTATAAGCATGCATCAATACAACGGCCTTTTTATGTGGGTGCTAGGGATCTGAACTCAGGTCCTCCTGTTTGCAAGGCAAGGAAGTACTTTATCCATTGAGCCATCTCCCTAGCCTCTTTATTATTTTATGATTTCCTTTTTACGTCTTAATTTCTTAGTTTTATAACCTATAACTAGCAACACAGGAGAATTTTGAGTGGTGAATTGCTCTCTATAATATTTAAATTCCCATTTCAAGCTTGACAAACAATATAAAACACATGTAAAATATTCTTTGATATGTCGAGGCAGGGGTAGGGCCTAATCTACCTCATTCAGTGGTGGAACACTTGTCTAGCATGTGTAAGGTCTTAGATTCCTTTCGTGCGGGTGGGGGAGGGGCATGCTGGGGCAGAGCTGAGGGTGGGATGGTGTGGGAGCAACAAGGTCACGCCATAAACCCGCACCTCAAAATACTACTATTTTCAGACATGAACTCACTAATACATCAAATTCTTGAAAGGTGGCAAGTAAGAACGACCTTGGCTATTTTTATCAAGTGAACATAATCTAAGTAACATTACCCCTTTGGATTATCTAGCAGTTGGTTGTGACCATTTGCCAAACAGGCTAAATGGTCAAGCAAGACAATTCAAATTAGCTGAAGAAAAGCAACACTGCTAACAGAGATTTGGCTTCATGCTCTCACTTCTCACTGCCCCACAGGCCATTTCTAGTTCGCCCAACTGTGGCTTTCCCAAACTTTTCCCTTGCTCCCAAACCGGCAATCAATTAAGGAAGCATGATTCCTAACAGCACATAGATTTTAAAATAGAGACAGGTCACAGCAAACAGACCTACAATTAGTAACTAACTTTAAAATCAATGTCTGTAAACAACAACAAAAAAAAATCTGTCTCATGTTCTTTTGTCTACCATTCCTGTCCCAAAGGAACACAAGAAACTAAAATGTTCCTTTTATAAAGAACTGCTAAACAATTCTGATGCACTCTGTGGCAAACGTTACCAAACTATGAGGGCCTATTTTTGATTATGAGGTTAAAAAGTTACGAACTGACCTTAACATGAATAATCAATGAGCTGGTTCCCATCCCTGGCTGTTTCAAATACCTCAACAAACTAAGTTTAACACTCTGATATCGTAAAGAGAGCTCAGTAGTTAAAACTAATTCCAAACTATCTACAATAAATCTTAGGATGACTCAAAATGAGTCTCAAAACCCTAGATCCAAGCTTAACTGCTTGTCCTATCTTGTCTCTCACCTTACTTTCCATCCCAACTTGTGCGGGAGTGTGGCAGAGGCCACCCACACTCAGCCTAAGTAGATCTCAGGGCTCCCAAACTTGCCTATTTCCGGTTTTAGTCTCTCCATAAACCTAATCCAATTAACTCTAATGAGCCAATAGCCAATAAAATGAGTCCTAAATTAAAATTTCGGTTTACAACGGCCGCTAGAACTTAAGAGATTACTAGTTTCGATGCAACTTGCAAAGATGGGTCGATTTTTGAGATTAATTACGCTTTCAAATCACAAGGTCTACTAAGCCTTTCTTGTGTGCAGAGGCCCTTCAGGGTAGCAAGACCGGAAGTCGGTGCAGGTATTGTTGATACAGTAAAACAAAACAAAGCTCGCCCCCTCCCAGCACACAAGCAAACAAACAAGCAAACAAACAAACAAAAAACCCATAACCTCAAAAACAACTTCCCGAGAGCACGCTCACCCCACCCTAATCACGAGCCCCGAGAGCGGGTGGCCTGGGTGAGTCCCGGGGAAAGGTCGGAGACAGGGCAGCGCCGCGCGGCTAGCGGCCTGCAAGCCCGAGCCTGCAGGTGGGGCGTGCGGGAGGGGACGCGGGGCCTGCCTTTACCTGCCGCGAAGTGGAGCGGGGTGGACTTCCTGCCCGCCGTGTCGCGGCTGTTCACCTTCTCCGGCGTCACCAGCCTCTTCACTCGCTCCACGTCCCCGTTGCGGCAAGCCTCGAACAGCTCGCGGGCGGACGGCTCTACGGCCTCGGCCACCGCGCTCGCGCAGGCCGCGCCCCCGCCGGCGCAGCGGCGGCCAGACATGATCCGGGCCGCCGCCGCCGCCAGCAGCAGCGCCAGCAAAGGCAGCAGGAGCCCCGGCCCCGCGAGCAGGAGGGCGAGGCCCCCCGCAGGAGACGCGCTCAGGGCCCGGGCCGCTCCGCTCCCCGCTGTTACCAGAGCAGGCGCAGTCCCATGGCCGCGTCGCCGCGCGCCCCCCGCTCGGCTCCGTGAGCCCCGGCTGCCCCACCGCGGCGGAGGCAGCGCGAACCCGCTCGCTGAGCCCCGAAGCGACGCGACAGCGGAAGCAGCCGAGACCACTCCTGCCAGCTCGGTCGGGTCCTGGGAGCGCGCGTGACGTCGGCTCGCGCGTGCGCAGTGGCTGCACTCCGGCCGGGCCAGTCTGGGCAAGCCGGGCCGCGCGGAGGGGTTTGTGGGAAATGTGCAGCGAGAGCCTTTGGTTGCGGAAAGAGAAGGGGCTTCGGCCCACCGCCATCTTTACGGAGCCTCTGCTGAGAACGAGAGGGCTTGCTGCCTTTTCTTTTTTTATTAAAGCCTAGACTTTTCAAGATGAGTTTCATTGCTCATACACTGAAGATGAATCTTTGGAAGTTTTGTTCTGGTTATGCATTTTCCTTTGCAAATTTTAGCGTGGAAAATGTCTGTAATTTTCCTCCCATACCTTCCCCTGGGAGATTCCTCTTCCCTTCCCCCTCCTGCCTTCTTTACAGTGTCTCGTCCCTTAACCCTCCGCATCTGCTTTTGTTTTTCTTATAAGCCTCTTCTCAGAAATGAATCCGTTACTCTTACTGAGAAGTTTGGATGAACGGCCCCAAGATAAATCAAGAAAGCGAAGAAAATTAATCTCTATTCTAAAGCAACAATTGGGGGGTGGGGCTCTGATTAGCTACATTTCCCATAGTAAATTATTAGCTCAGTGCCGACTAGGATCTACACATAAATCAGTGTTGTACCGGATGTGGCCAAGGTGCTGGTACACTAAGCATGCACATCAAGAAAGTTTTCTGAAGTGTTTCATTTTCTCCCTGTGATCAAAGAATATAAGCGCACAATTCTTTCGTGTTTATTGTGTTTCATAAAAAGCCAAGGATGTGTTTTGTAGAGCCAGGTATGGGGAGGTGGGAGGGGTGCCTCGGCAGGCCCATGCTGAGGCATCTCTTCCCACCGAGGTACCAGCCATACGGGTATAGTGTAGAATAGAGTTTATTTAGGGCATGGAGAGGGGAATTGAGAAGGCAGTAGAGGCAGAGAAGGACAGAAAGTGAGAGAGAGAAAGGAGAGGCCAGCCAGGAACACGTGGAGAGAGAGGGGGGAGGGGGAACGGGAGAGAGGGTTAGGGAAAGAAGTGGATAAACAGCCTGGCCTACCTGGCTGTTGCCAGATAACTATTGGGCAGATCCTAGAAAAAAATGCTAACAGTGTCTAAGATAGTAGTGACATTTTTGTGTATGATCTTGTTTCAGGAACCCAAAGGAGAGGAATATAGAGGTTTTGCTTTCAAGAAAGTACTGGCTTTTGGCACGCTGACAAGCATTTCCCCTGTGAATTGACTTAACCTGTTTTTCAGGAAATCCAGTTTTTGTTAGGGAGTGTTGACTCACTTCTGTGGGAGAAAAGCAGGGACACTTTTTGAGCATTTTAGTAAATGAACATTCTTATATGTCCATTCTATTATGTTCTTAGACTAGTGTAAATTTAAATTGATACCTACTAATAAATATTCATAAACATAACTAAGGATTAGAACATTACTAATATGATTGTCTCATTTTTCTTCATTTCATCGACTTGCCAAATATATTCCCAATTTTTATTATTTTTTATGTAGCTATTTCTGCTTATGTATTTCCTTCCAATATGTGTATCTAAATAACATCATACAGCAAAAATTTACTCACTGATCCATCTCCCCAACCCTAACTTTAAAAAAAAAAAAACCACATGATTACTAGAGAAATGCAGTTAAAAACCATATTGAGATGGCTATTCTAAAGCAAGCAAGAAGCAAATAACAAGTGTTGGTGAGACAGAACAAATTAGAATCATTTTGTACTTTTTTTCTTTTTCTTTTTTCTTTTTTTTTTTTTTTTTTTGGTTTTTTGTTTTTTTGTTTTTTTTCTCTGTATAGCCCTGGCTGTCCTGGAACTCACTCTGTAGACCAGGCTGGCCTCGAACTCAGAAATCCACCTGCCTCTGCTTCCCAAATGCTGGGATTAAAGG